CCAAAACAGAGACCGACATTCCGGCCCGGAACGCACATTTTCAAAGGAGAATAACTGGCTGTAGCATTGTTTTTCAGATAAACAAGTATGTTAACTTAGCATGTTTCTTAAATATCTGCAAACATATTATGGTATTTTTATGCTTTAGTAGAGTCAAAAACTTACATACAGCACCTTTAAACAAACTGAATTGCGAACAATTTAAAATCTTTTTACAAACCTGTTTAACCGATTAGATCATTTGCAAATCTGGTATCACTAGCACTGATTCTAAACAGCTGAAATAACGCATGACTTGATTGCTGACATATTAGCAAAAAAAGTGATTCTCAGGTCGGTTTACATCATAATCGTCACTGACATACAAAGATTTATCAATAATATTTTACTGGGGCTAGGGCTGGGTGATATATCTAATATTAGCGATAATATCGCAATAATTTTGTTTTGTAAAATTTTAAATTTCGCATATTTTAAATTCAAGCATACTTTCCCAAAAGAATGCGCTGAACGTTCATAAAAGGAGACAATATATTGCGGACTGCTCTACTGTACACACCTCTACTACGCGAGCTTTCATGAGTGCGGTTGCCAGATATCAAGAGTTCAAATCCCTGAAACAGAGCTTCGCTGTTACAAGGACACATTTTCATTTTAAGCAATCTAGCAATCATGCGCAAACGCTCGCTCCTCACTGCGGAAGCGCCGCCGACGATGAGCTGAAAACACCAACAAACAAGCTGGAGTTTAGCGATCAAAATGAAAGTGTCACTCAACCAGTCTGTGTTCTGTCATGAGATCTCGACTGTATTGTTTGCGATTGTGATCGCTGAATAAATGCACTTACTCAACCGCTGTTGTTTTAATAGAGAAACATAGGCTATGACAATTTGGAATTACTATTAGGAATTACACTGTTATAATATTTTTCATTTGTCTTACCAGTTTTCATAATATAGACATAATATAGAGATAGTGCATAAGTTTTTGGTATTAATGCGTGTATATATATATATATATATATATATATATATATATAT